CCAAAGATGGATGTCATTCTGATATTCATTCAACACATGTTCCAGAAACAGTTCAAATACGATCCAAATACGAATGTCATTCTGACACTCATTCAACACATGTTTCAAATACAGTTCAGATACGATCCAAAGATGGATGTCATTCTGACACTCATTCAACACATGTTTCAAATACAATTCAGATACGATCCAAAGACGGATGTCATTCTGACACTCATTCAACACATGTTTCAGAAAAAGTTCAGATACGATCCAAAGACGGATGTCATTCTGACACTCATTCAACACATGTTTCAAATACAGTTCAGATACGATCCAAAGATGGATGTCATTATTACACTCATTCAACACATGTTTCAAATACAGTTCAGATACGATCCAAAAACGGCTGTCATTTTCACACTCATTCAATACATGTTTCAAATACAATTCAGATACGATCAAAAGACGGATGTCATTATGATACTCATTCAACACATGTTTCAAGTACAGTTTATATACGATCCAGAGGCGGATGTCATTCTGACACTCATTCAACACATGTTTTAAGTACAGTTCAGATACGATCCAGAGACGGATGTCATTATGACACTCATTCAACACATGTTTCAAGTACAGTTCAGATACGATCCAAAGATGGATGTCATTCTGACACTCATTCAACACATGTTTCAAGTACAGTTCAGATACGATCCAGAGACGTATGTCATTCTGACACTCATTCAATACATGTTCCAGTACAATCACGACATAGATCCATCCACAAAATCTCTGCAGGTGCTTTCTCCAGCAGGTACAGGGGCAGAAACATCCTGATGCGAAGTCATAGTTGTTTCCTTAGTATACGTCCTAGTGACGTCCATGTTCCCCACATAATAGAAACAACCGAAGTTTTGATCTCTTCTTCCCTAAACAGGAGATACTTCCTCCAGCAAAGTGCCTTCAGAGAGTTGAAATCTGTATTCCCCAACCGAGCTTTATAATCTTAAACAGTTTATAAAACCTCATCCCGAATAGAGTTTATTTCTCAAACTGTGGAAGATCATTCCCCAACAGAGTTTATTTCTCTACATCGGTAAAATCTTCCAACAAAGCATCCTCCCTCCACAGAGTTATGCCCAAGCAGAGTCAATCCCCGACAGAATATCCTTAAACAGAAGGAGGAAATCCCCGACAAATCGTGCATTCGTCATCCTCAACAGAAATGAAAGTATTCACTTCCCAATACTCTTTAGCGACAGTCCGGGATTTACTTTCCCAGACTAAGAAATATTGCAATAGCATCTCATGTTCATACATCATGGCATGCGCATACACATCGCATACAGCATAATCTCATCTATTTTTTAAGGAAAGATCTAATCAGCAAACATCGTTGAATACTTATGTGACCTGGTAGTCTTCTCAAAAGCTGCGTCTAATGAAGGACTATTTCAGCGTTTATTTCAGCGTTTTCCTCAGAACGACGCGCTCATAAGACCTTCTCTGGTTCAGTCATATCACTACTAAGATCTACCTGATTCTTATTCCAATTGAAGATTGACCCAAGACTTTTGTTTGGTTCAGTTGAATCGATCCTAAGATTTTTCTGATTGTTGTTCCAACCAAAGTTGATTAAAGACCTTCTCTGGTTCAGTCAGATCGCCACTAAGATCTCCCTAATTCTTATTCCAGTTGAAGACAACTCAAGACCTTTCTCTGGTTCAGTTTAATCGATCCTAAGATTCTTCTAATTTCTATTCTAGTTAAACAAACTGTAAAGCCTGGAGAACAACCAGATAACAGCTTAATCTCATTCCCCCATTAAGTCACTGTGAATACGAACGGATAGCAGTTAGCCTTATCATCCTCAGTAAGTCACTATGAAGCATGGATTCTGACCAGATCGCAGTTCATTTCCGTCTCTTCAATCAAGAGATGAACCCCCAATAGAGTAACAGACAACTGAAGCTCCTAAACTCTATTTCCCAAGCGGAGGCCAACATTCCTCAGCGGAGTCCACCTCAATAACAGGCATAGGTTCCCACAAATGAATATCTTGTGAAATTAACATTGTTCCGGATGGCATCTTTAAGCCCATCTCCGACAACTCTTTGTCATATTCCCTGGATGGCATCTTTAAGCCCATCTCCGATGATCTCCTGTCACCTTCTCCAAATGGCATCTGTAAGCACATTCTCGATATTACCTACACAATCAAGTATCGTTTAAGACAAGTGCAAATTTCTGGGCACTCTAGTGTTCAATCATCTTCCACCTTCAGATCACGAAAGGCAAATCAACCAGTCTACATCCTCAGGTTTAAGAAGATTGAACAGGGGAAGCTATTGTACCCCAAAATTTTCCCTCCCATTTTCACTCAAGACATGCCTCTAGAGGTCCTCAATTGCTCAAGGATGACCAAGAATTGACCATACAATTCTCCTCCTAAGGTAATGAACCCCCAACTAGGGTTTCCATTTTCATCATGATGGTTGATCTCCAATGGTCTCAAATTCTTTCCATGGTCCTAATATGTCTTCAAGATCACCCATGCCAAGTTTCATGTCTTGCTCAATAAGTTTTCTCAGTCAATTGCTCAAGCATTGGAAAATGAACTGTACTAGGTCAAAAAGTCAATTGTGGCCCAAATACAGTCAAACTTCAAGATTTTTGGTCAACATCAACATTTTTAAGTAATATCCATCATTTGATCAAAGGTTGATCATGAGTCCTCAAGGAATGCTCCCAACTCATCAAAAGTCAAAAATGGCAAATTAGGGTTTTTATAGGAAAAGTCAACCAAACTCTGACCAGGCATAACTTTCTCTTTATCCGAAATTTTTCCTCCAAGGCTAATTTTGAAGAGAATCCAATTAACTACAACTCCTCTTCATCCCTCAAGGTCAAGAAATACCTCAATTAAAATATACAAGTTCATACATTATAGGTCCTTTCAAAAAGTTAACAAAAACACCTTTTGGGTCAAAGCTCCTTACATGAACATGGAAGATCCAATTGAGATGAAACCAAAAGGGTTATTTATAGGACATCCTAAGCTCTCTAAAAAGTCAAAGAACACCCTCTTAGGGTTAAAAATGAGAGAGATGTGCATTGCTAAAGTTGACCAATTTTAAGAAATGTGCATGAAGCAAATAATGACCAAACTTGATTTTTTTTCCAAATGGGCCCATGCTTTCATGCTTGAAACTTGTTCCTAACATGGCCCACGCCCCCTAAGCTCACTCTTGCATTATTTCATTATTTTTATTATTTGTTTTGATTTTTATTCATTAAAATCAAAATAAATCAAATAAAATAGTGAAATATTAAAATAAAATCCAAGATTTGTTTTTATGACCACATAATGAGTCTAGAATTAGTTGGCAAATCAAATATTTCGTGCAAGGGATGATTGGAATGAAAAGAGCATGATTTGGCCTATTTTAGAAACTTAAAATATCCATGGCAAATCAAATCTTTTCTCCATAATTCTTCAAGATTGCATCCAGTTTTTTTAACCTAATGCACTCTCATATATATGGACAACATTTCCAGACCAAAAAGGAAAGGATTGGCCGCACAAAATTGACACAAGAAGTTCAAATTTTTTCACAAGAAGTGGCAATCGGTTTGACCTTTGCAGAGAGATTCAAGAAGTTTTGACACTTGCAATCCATTCCTGGGAACATTCTGAAGCTAACGACATCATTTACACGCATCAAGACATCAAGAATCATCCCTTAGGATATCACAGTTTGCACATATATTCTTGAAATTGATTTTGATCATACACGCATTATAAATAAGTTTTAACTATGCATTCTTGTTTGTATGAGAATTTAGGACATGTTTGAATGATCAATTTCCACTTTTGGCACAAATATGAGGACTTGCCATTGTTAGGGTTTCAAGGTCTATTTTGAGGTTTTCCATTACAGGAAAAATTAGGCCAAAAGAAGAATACCATTGTATTCACGATATCAAACCCAATTGATCCATGTATTTACATTAAATTTATATTGCCTGTTATGATTTTTGGTAATTTGCAGGTCCTTTAGTGACGGTTTTGTCTGTAGGTAAAAGTTTCTGGGCTAAAACGACAGCCACTGAAGAAGACGATGGAGTGGCATCTCAGGATTAGATCATTTGAATTGCGTGAATTTTTGTCTTACATACTGTAGCGATGAAAATCGGAGATCAAGCTATTAATTAACTTGAATCATAAAAGCAAGAGTCGCCACTGCGCTTTATTATTTCCAAGGGAAAAGGGAAAAGAGCGAAATAAAACCCTAAAATATGCAATGTAAAGTAATATTTAAAAGTAATGAAAATACAATGTGTTTTTAAAAGAGATCGAGAGTTCGGGGGTTGGTTTTACAATGGGAAGATATTAGAACTCAATGCATCTGCGGTACTCCGCAGGAACCTTTTGAAATATCTGTTTTTGGTTAAAATTGTTTGTTTGATTAAAATGGTTCGTTTGGCTAAAAATAGGTGTTGGTGAGATCTTGAAGATGTGATAACCTAATGTCGAAGTTTTGACTTAAAAAGGGGTGTGAGTTTAAAAATTGATTTGTAGGAGATTCGTCTTAAGATTAATAAAACTAAAAAAAGTATGAAGGGACTTCACATAATCGTATTAGATACTCGATGACATGAAGTTAACAAATTAATTCTTTCCCTTGGATTTAAAACCACAGACATATAAATAAGCTAAGAGTATATCAAACCTCAGGTGAAAATAAATCACAAGCCGACAACATCAAAAAAACCTGATGTAAGATAATACTCCAAGCATCAGATAAAGCGCAAAGGGCGATGGATAAAGCTCACGGTATCAGATACGGCTCAAGATATTGAATAAAGCTCGCGGTATAAGATTCCCTGCATCACATGAAATATATAGACAAAACTAACAACACGGGAAAACTTATGTGCATTCGTACAATTTTCAGAAGTTAGATGGAATTAAAATTAAAATAGCAACACAATGAAAATAATATTTACATATCCTGAATTTATTTACAAATGAAGTGAATAAAATATACAGTCAAAATATTATATACAAGTATATATTTACAGTACCAAATATTAAATAAGAATAGTAATATACAATAAAAAGGTAAAGGGAGAAGTGTAGGAATTATGGACGCGCTATGCGGGAATGAATACTTGAAACGATTTTTGAAAACCTTCACAGTAAACAAACCCGTTAGTAGCATAAGTGGTATAAAAAATTAAAATGAAAGAAATTGCAACTATTAAAGTCTATGTTAGTAATCACAAAGTATGAAATTGAAATGCAATTACATGAATGCACATGAACAAACAAATATTTACACAGATAAGAACCAAGATGAATTGAATCAAAAAATCACAAATTTAACACTAAACAACACACATTTAAATAACTATCAAGAAGAGAAATTTTACAAAGAATAAATCTAAACAAAAATTATTAAAGAATAAACATTATCAAAATTAAAACAAACAAAGATTAACTATTAATTAAATATAATTATAGAGCAAGTATGAATTAAACACATTACATTTTTAGAAGAAGAAGAAAAAGAAAAAAAAATAAACCAAGAGTTATTGGTATGAACAAACTATTAGTAAAATCATATACAGAGAAACAAAACAAAAAACGAAAAAATATGGAGAAAAAGCTACTGGATATAAAAACAAATTTCTTAAGTATTATCCTTCAATTAATTAGAACTTAATTCAATCTTAAAATCAAAGAAAGTTAGTTAGAGAAAAAACTAAGATAAAAAAAAATAGAGGATCAAGTATTTTGATTACTCAATATACCCCACAAAAATCAGCATGACATTGATTAGGCGAGCTTAACAAACAAAACAAGATTAAAACAATTGAAAATAAATGAAACACAAGATGACCAAGATATATATACATCTCAATTCATGTCCATTATTTCCTTTTGAGTACAAAAAAAATGCAGCATTATAATCTCATAACAAACTCAGTACTCTATCTTTTCAGCTCAATTGAGTTTATAAATCATAAACAAGCTAATGGTCATAATTCCCATATTTCAACAACAAACTGAAAACTTATCTACAAAATGCATATCAAAACATATTATTCATTAATTAAGTTATTAATAATAAAATAAAAATCAATAAGCACAATAGAAATTATAGTGAGAACTCTTTTCAAGAATTGTTACGTACCAATGGTTCTAAAAACCAAAACCAAGAGACTAGCACAACTATGAAATCATTTGGAAATTAGCATACAATTTTAACACCAACACAGTCTAACATAATCATCTCCGCAGACAAAGATAAAATAAAAATCATTTAACTTGAACAAACACAATTAGAAAAGAGATCGAAACATACCGAAAAGCCGAAACTGGAAATTGATGGTGCTCGAAATCGCAGAATAGATCTTGGCAGAAGGATTACGGACTACTTGCGAAATTGATGGAGGAAATTGGAAGGGGGTTAATTGTTGCGCGAGATAAAGGTTGGGTTTGGTTGCTGTAAGTAGAAAAATAGTATGCTGGCAATTGGGAGAAAGGGGTATGTGGTTAGCTTGAGCGGTGGGAGTTGTTGTGGGTTAGAAAGAGAGAAGAGGTTACTGGATGTGGCTAGAAGAGGAAGTAGTGTGATGGAGAGAGGATGTAATACTGTGTTGTTATTTGGTTAAGAAGAGAGGATAGAAATATGTTACTGCATTGTTTTTAGTTTTTGTTATTTTGTGGGGTGTCCTTTTACAAAGAATAAGAGCCTGTTTAAATAGGAGATGAAAAGAAAAATTGTGATTTCCAATTCAATCATGATCGTTCATTATTTCTTCAATTTGTATTAATCCGTAAATTTTGTCAACAACCAATAGAAATCAAGCATAGTGTAATAAACATTATTTTGTGACTAAAAAGCCCTTTTAATAATAAAAATAAAATAAAAACCTAAAAGTATTAAAATTAACTCAATTTAAAATAAATTTTTTTGAATTTTTTTGAATAAAAAATAAAGACCTAAAATGACTGAAAATGATAAAAAAACGAACTAAAATTTATCCAAAAAAATAAAATGAACACATTAAAATAAACTACATGTCACAAAGATTAAATAAAAAAATATTCAAAAATTCAAAATCAAAATAAAATGATAATAAAAATATCAGGCTAAACAGACGTTTACGGTTAAAAACGAGACTTCAAACTATACCGAAAAAATAAAGCGAGTATACCGTCATAATCTACGCGAAACACAAATTCATAAAATGATCGGTAAAAGGTGAAAACTTGAAATATTTTCTCGCTAATTTTCTGCACAGTGTCGAATCGCTTTTAACAGTCTGTCTATAAAACCAAAATATTTTTATTATCGACATATAAACAACTTGGAGCAATGCAAGAAAATAGTAAACATATAAAAATGAATGAAGTGAAATGTCGGGTATTTTACAACTGAAAGACGATGCAAACTTTGATTTAAACTGACTTTTTCTGGTCAACTTAAATACGACTAATGATGCAAAATGTGATGAATGAAGATATTTACTAATGATTGTGACCAAATAACAAAATATGATATGAAAGTGCGACTAAAACAAATTAGGGGCGAAATTTAGGGTGCAACAGTTGTGCCTTCATGAATCAGTCTTCAAGAATCCATAATTAACCGTACTTCTGGCTTGGGAGACTCAAAACCTTAATTGAGGCGCGACATCTGATGCTCTTGATTCAGGCCTGTCTCTGCATATGAAACAAAAGAAAACATGAACATACACCTTTGTATGCGATTAGAAATTAGTGATACATAGGCTAAAAATGTTCAAAACACTATACAATCTTCTCATAGTCAAAGCTCGAAGGTGAGAGGTTAAAACCGACCGTATTTCGTGACCTTGACTTATGTTTAAAAATGCAAAAAATAAAAATGGGATCTTAGGTCAAAAATTGGGGTATGACACATACTGACCCTTTATTAAATATTTTATATTCTGTTTGTTTTATATAATGAATGATAAGCTAGCTCAGATGGAAAAAGGGAAGGACTTAAGGCGCGCGCGTGTGGGAGGTCAAGGGTTTGACCCCTTCCTCCTGCATATTATTTTCTAACATTCTTCTTTTAGATCCAGTACTACCAACCTCAACGCGCGTACCATATGCCTCAGATTCATCACCCTCAGATCAATCAACATTAGATCAGACGCTCTAGGTGACTGGAGACCATGGTGGACATCCCAGCAAGCCTCCCACCAGATCCAACGCAAGGGGTTATTGGGCTTGTGAACCTGGGCCTTGGAAATCCAACATGCACTCCCCAAAAATGCTTCAATACCAGGCCCATTCTTTTTTCCTTTCTATTATTATTTATTTAATTTCTTTGTTTTTAAATTATTTCAGAAAAATTATTATTTTTATTTAATCATAAAAATCAGTAAAATCAGTAAAATCACAAAAAATAGGATTTAGGTTTTTTTTATTAAAAATTAATTTTGTAAATTAATTTGTTGTAATTATTTTGATTTGTTTCTTTAAAATAAATTCAATTAGAACCTAGGTTTAATTGCAACATCTTTTTCTTCAAAAATGTCAAAAAATATTAGTTTTTTATTCAGAATTTTTTATTATTAATAATAATTTCTCCAATTAATTAATTTAATTATTTTTAATTTATTTTCATTAATTAAAATTAATTAGAAGATTAGGTTAAATTTCAAATCTTTTTTTATAAAAAAATCCCAAAAATATTTTCAATGAGCAAATTAGATTTTTAGGGTTTTGAACTTTTTTCCAGTTTTAATTCTCGCGCGTTATTATTTTGCCGTTCGATTACTTTTTTTATTATTGATGTAATTGCGCCCGGTTTGTAATAACTTAATTAGGGTTTACAATTTTCCGCAATTTATTTTTCGTTCATCATTTATGTATCTACACCAAAACCCTGTAATAGTTAGGAACTTTATTTTTTCCGCAATTTATTTCCCCACATGATATACTGCTTAGATGAATGGTTGATAGGATTGCATGGAAAGATAACAATTAATTGAACATAGATAACCCTAAATGCATAAGATAAATGAACAGAATCAAGCACACTTGCACATGCTCACCCCTAGGGCATCTCTCACTTCGGTTTCCTTCTAATACGGTCACAATTCTCGAAACGTGAGAATCCTTAGTGGCTGTCCTTGAGTCTAAGATATCATTAGTCCCTCGATGACCCTCTCGACTATTGCCTCGATTAAAAATTGATCTTAGGGCTTTAGGACTGTTACTAAGAGTTTTTGCCCAGTTGCCTTTAGTGATCGTACGTCCCTTTCGATAGTCCCTCAAACATCCAACGACTAGAGCTACCTACTCACTAATAGTAGGACAACACTATCTAAGGGATACGGGGAAAAGAACAAACTTTTTTCGAGTAGGTAGATAATTGTTAGGTACTTGCTCAATAAATTCTTTTTACACACCACACTTTCAAACACTTTTCAAACAAAGTTTTCAAAATGCTTTATCACACTCTCGAGGACTGATACGAGAGTTACCATAAAGCAAACAAAACCTTTCAAAACACACAAAGCACAAATAGTTTTCAAAAATGAGCAAATACCTAAGAGCCCGTGAAAAACCACAGATGGAAAGGGTGCTAACACCTTCCCTTTCCATTATCTACCCCCTTACTCAAAAAATCTCGAAAAAGGTCTTTTATGTTCTTTTCACCATTTCCTTTGTTGGATAAAAGAAAAGTTGGTGGCGACTCTTGCTTACCGCGACATTTGCGAACAAAAAAAGCAAACCAGTATTAACATCCGGTTTTACCACCGTATCACAAGCGGTTTTGATTTCCAATATGGCACCTGTCCAACAACAACATCAGGGTAACCGTCAAAGGCCAGATGATCCAAGAAGGCAGTTCACTAAGATCAATATGCCTTTTTCTCAGGCACTACAACACCTTTTGAAGGCACAGTTCATAACATTGAAGGGTCCTCCGTAGAATCCTAACACTACCTCTCATTGGTACAATCCTAATGCGAGATGCGCATATCATGCCAATAGTCTCGGACATGACACGAGTAGCTGTTGGGCTTTGAAGATTAAAATTCAAGATCAGATTGACAATAAGGAGATTAAGTTCGATCCTCCAGAGACCCCAAATGTAATTACAGCACCTATGACCAAACATGATAAAGGCGTAAAAGTTGTTGAGGATATTCTATATGTTACTTTTGTGAATGATGTGGTTACTCCACTCTCCATAATAAAGAATAATTTGATATAAGCTGGTTTATTTCCAGGTTGGGTTGAAGGTTGTTATTTCTGTTCCGTCGAACCCAATGGCTGCGAGTCACTAAAGAAAGGTGTTCAAAGCTTGATAAATGAACATATTATTCTAATTGAAAAAGTTTCGCCTACCAACAATTTCTGCCAAGATCTGTTATCTTTGGTACTCCTTTTAGGATTCCTTCTAAAGGTCCTATAAAGATTACCACCAATACGAAAGCTGCTCCATTGGTCATTACAACGCCCAGACCAATCCTGTATTCCTCAGATAAAGTAATTCCTTGTCACTACGGATTAGACGTCTATTATCATGGCGTCAAACAAGAGTTGTCGGATGAAGAAAAAGAAGAAGTTGATCCCAGTATTGTCAATATCGCAGGGAACAGTAAGATTACAAGAAGTGGAAGGATTTTCTCTCCAGAAACCTCCCCACCTACTCAGATTACAGCTTCCAAAATGACTGTTGGGTCTCGAGGTAAAGAGTAGGTGATAGAGCCTGCCCGGACAGAAGGCGCTAAAAGAAATTCATGTCAAAGATACTTCTGGGGAAGATTTAGAAGAGGTTCTAGAGATTATTCACCAAAGTGATTATAAAATTGTCGAACAATTGGGGAAGACCCCATCAAAAATATATATGTTGTCACTACTACTGTGTTTTGAGGCCCATGTGAAGGCTTTATGGAAATTCCTAAAGACTTCTCATGTGCCGTAGGAAATTTCGGCAGATCAATTTGGAAGTTATATGGCCAGTCTGATAACTGACAACGGTTTGGGTTTCTCCGATGCTGACTTGACTCCAGAGGGGAGGAATCATAATAGGGTCTTGTACGTCTCCATAGAGTGCAAGGGCACTACATTGGCCCATGTATTGATTGTCAAGGGATCATCTCTGAATGTTCTTCCGAAAGGCGCTCTCGACCGGTTAAACTGTGAAGGGTTGGTGCTGGAACCCAACAATATCATAGTTCGATCTTTCGACGGATCGAAGCGAATGGTACATGGAGAGGTAGACCTCCAAATCAAGGTGGGTTCACAGATTTTTGAGTTCACCCTTGGATCCATGGGGCAGGTTCTGTCACTTCCACCCTGCACCAGAAGCTGAAATACCCAGTGAAAGGGAAAGTTGTTACTGTTTGTGGAGAGGAGGAATATGTGGTCAACCACCTCAACTCGTTCCGATGAGTGGAAATGGACGGGGAATTCATTGAAACACCTTGCCAAACCTTTGAAGTGCTCTCCCCTGCTGTTGTTGAAGATGTTTCAGCCATCTCGAAAATCACCAAAGCTCCGCACAAGAGGCCTCCTTGAAGGATGCTAAAGCCGTTATTGAAGAAGGTGATAGTGTAATTTGGGGCCAGCTTCCTGATATCCCTTATAAATCTAACAAGTTTGGCCTGGGCTTTACTGCTGAAGATCATAGGGTTGTTCGATGCGCTCGTGCCGGAAGACCTCTATTCCGCATTAGCAACAACAGGGTCAATGCTATAGAGGATGCAAATAGTGATGGTGACTTCAACAACTGGATTTTCCCTACTATTGGTGATGGACTAGATAATTGGAAGGCAGAAGACGTGTCCCCTAACTCTTTCAGTTAGGAGTAATGGCTATATTCCTTTTTTTATAACTTTTAAAGTTTTGGTTATGTAAAATTTGAAAAATGACTTTAAAACCTTGTGTCTTACCCGGGGCACAATGGTTCATTTGTTAAGGGTTGATTAATTCATAAACATTTTCTCATTCAATAAGAACATTGGAAGTTTTGCATACAAATTTTGTGATCCCTGTTGTTGTACCCCAAAATTTTCCCTCTCATATTTCTCAACACATGGCAAGTGAGGTCCCCAAATTTCTCAAGGAAGTTCAAGAGTTGACCAAACAAACTCTCTCCTAAGGCAGTCTACCTCAAATTAGGGTTTCCATATTCATCAAGATGTGTGAACCACAAAGGACACAAATTCTCACC